TATATAAAACCTCCCTTCAATTCTTGTGTTTAAGCTCATCAACAATCTCATTAACAATTCAAACCGCATCTAGGATTTGCTTGCCCAAATAAAAGCATGCTAGCATTCACCCACTTCTCCCATAAGCTTTTATCATTCTCCTCACTAGTACTTTAGCAAGGAGTTTACACGTACATCCCAGGAGGCTAATAAGTCTTAATTCTTTGATACTTGTTGCCCCCTTAGCCTTAGGGATAAGAACTTAGTACCTTAGATGTTCGTTCCCCTTCACAACAGAGCCATCAGTCTCCAACTCCTCTACATAGTTGACTCTCCTACAATAATTGGCCATACAGTGAAAGAACTTAGTAGTCCTGTCTCCCTCCTCCATCCATCTGGTTCTTGACTTCTACCTCTTAAGAGATCTCTTCCATTTGGATTCTGTTGACCAATTCAAGGCGAATAGTCTCCCTATGAGCTGAATCATCAATGAATTGACCCACTTCTCCCTCCCTCTTGTCAAGACCCCCAACCCCTGGAATGGAATAAGGAATGAATGACTACAGACTATCCCCCCTTCTCCTCTTTCGACCACTTCTTGATTTTGGTCTTTATCAACCACAATTTCCTAGCCACCTATAGCTTGCATTTCCTTCCACCATCATAATATCCCATGAATCTTTAATTTCATCTTGAAAACTCGTGACTTTTAGCCATTTGTCTTCAATTTGAAGGGATAAGGCCCCCATTTCACCCATTAGAGTCAAGACAAACAGAGAAATGGTCAGGGATGGTGTGTTGTAATAGTTTCTGATACAAGCCCATAACCTAGAACTGACATGACACTGATACAAGAAGTCTATCAATCATGGAGCAGGACAAGTTTGTCCTCTTATTCGACCGAGTCCATTTACCTCCAATTAGAGGTAAATCCAATAATTCTAGTCTCTCCAACATCTCCTAAATTAATCAGCACAAATCCTGAATTCCTGGCTGTGCTTGTGCAGATGCAATATTATTGTATGATTTTCAAAATTTCCTATCCTAGTGACACAAAACTCACACAAATTTTACCCTACATCATTAAGGAGTTAATAGAAAAGAGTGTGTATTGACAAAGCATTAACTTATGTCAGTTTCTTCTTCTCTAAAGCTCATAATTTTGACATAGAAACAATGGGTTACCCAATTAGTCCACCAAGTTCCTACAAGTATTGGCATCAACAAGCATAGAGTAGCGCAAACAATCAGAAAGAGGGTGAAGATATCTTTCAGAGATTTCAAAATTGTCTCTGTTGGAGAATGTTATCTTCCTGCTATCTTTGTCGTTAAGCAAAATAAACATCCCATATATAGTACAGCCACAGTAGTCAAACTATATCGACAAGTACTTTCCCGTGTAAAGCCTATAATTTTAATCTGGATTGTATAGTTAAAATCACAGGGTATTTCTGCTTGAACAATATAACCCAAGCTCTAGAACAATTTCAGAGATGAATAATCGCATAATCATGTAAAAAAGTAGGACTGCTCACAATATGTTATAAAGTGTGCTTCCCATACAAATATCTTCCTTTAAGTCATAAATAGGTTCTAACCAGCAATGATTTGTATACATAAACATGGACAGGCAATTGGAATACACAACGCAGACCACACGAAAGTTTTATACAATATCAGTATCTAAATGAGGGAAATAAATTTGGTTCTCTATGCATAGGGGAAATATTTGACAATAAAAATAACAAAATGAACTTACTCGACAAGTTTCTCGCATTCTCTCAATTTGATCTGGAGTTTTTATCTTCAAAGCAAATATATCAATTCAGTGATGTGAAAGCAAAAGGAAAAGAGAAGGAAATAGAAACTGAATCAATTAGCAAGAGAAGAAAATTCTGAATTTGTTAAATGCCATTGTTTACCCCCAAAAAAAGACATTCATATGCACAAACTGACCTCAACAACATGCTGCAGCTCGCTGTTAGGCTCAATTTTTGGGACTCCCTGCAAGTTAAAAGAGAAAGAGGAAACATTATATGGAATAAAAAATTAGTGACCATAAGAAATTAATGAACCGAGCATATCTTTTTCCTAATATGAGTATCAAATTCACATTGCATAAAACTGTGACCAAATTGGAAAAGAGATCATTTGTCAACAATGAATGATCATGTTCCAGGAAAGAACTGTCAAGTAAACATTAAAGAAAATCCATCTTAATATTTGGATAGACCTAATTCAAGAGACTTACATCAACTGCCCAATCAGGTTGATCTATGTGTGCAGGTACAGTGCGCTTGATAGAAATGGGATATGGCCTCAGTGTCCTACAAAACAAGATTGGAAAATGAACCCCATAACAATAGGGTAAAATCATGAGAAATAATTCATAGTTCGTGAACCATCCAGCAAAACCTTGAAGATAAGAAGAAATTAACTCCAACAGAGAAAGAGGATGCATTCTGAACCTCCAATCAAACTTGTATCTAACTAGCTACTTTCCCCAATTCGACATAAGTAATTGCATATAACTTGGTGTATCATGAGCTTACACAAGGAAGTGGTACATAAAAATAGATGCATCAAAGATGATAGAGAACTGTGCAAAATTAGTATCATATAGCAAATACACAAATCTTGTCTTAAATCCTAATATTCTATCTCATTCAATTCCTAAATCTTAATTAATTGATATTTAGAAATTAATTATAATTTACAAACTTCAGATACATAATTAAATCAAATTCACATATATCTTCAATTCAATGACTATGAATTTTATGTTTCAGGCTGGGTAAGGAAGAAATAACAAAAACACTTAACTTTAAATTGTGTCACCTTCAGAAAAGAGTGAAATCCTATATATTGATAATAATATAGTCATAAAAGCAAATCTCTCCAATCTTTAGGCCTATCACCTGGAAAAACCAAAGAAACATCTCCATAGTATGATTTATCACATCAGTTAAGCCGTCCAATTGAGGATGATTGGTAAAACTTAAGGATAAGTAGGTACCAGATAGTCTAAACAATTATTCCAAAATGCACTGGTGAAAGTGGCATATCTTTATCTTGAAAACTGATTCTGGTAAACCATGTAACTTGAAGATATAAGCAAATATTGCAATATAAGGATGGGATAATGGCAGAAAGTGCAAATACTTTGGAAACTAAGCAACAACCAACAAGATGTTCTTGACCAGGGAATGGACGAAGGCCTTTGACAAAGTCCAAAGAGATATCTGACAAAATTTGATGCGGGATGCGAAGAGGCTGCAGTAATCTAGTAGGTCGGATAAATCACATATTCATGAGTCCATTTAGATGGCCCTAATGTCCTCCGCAGATTATCACTAACACAACATGAGAACCTGATTAAGGAAATAAACTATAAATTCATGGAAAAGGCTGAGTTACCCAAAGCTTTGATGACATTGTGGTAAATTCAATCACATTGGACATGTTCACTATCAATGACAATCACCCTCATCTAATTTCCCTCTTCAAGAAGGGGAGTCATCTCATGCACCAAAGATGAATCCAAAAACCTGTATGTGCTACCTGGGTCAATCAACACTATCTTGCATTGTTGGGAAGGATTCCACACCCGTGATCACGTGGAGTGAAATATAGATTTCGTATCCCACTATCTTCTAGACTTAGAGCACCAAGGAGATAATAAGGGGATTCACTGTCTTATAGACACATAGGGCTTCCACAGACAAAGAACCTTACCCTCTTCCTCAAGTCACCAAAGGCGAAGATCATTCCCCAAGCAACTCCCAAATGGAAAAAGCAATATGGAGGGAACTTTATTTTTCCAAATTCATTCCCACGGAATCTAAATGCTAGAACACTCTGAGACTACAAATAATTATACAATGATTTCAAAGTGAAGTTCCCATCTTTAGAGAGAGGCTATGAGTAATAGTCATTCACAAAGGTCTCAACTAGGCACTTGGAAAGAAGAGTCATCATCTCCACAAACTTAGCTACCTCTCAATCACTAAGGTTTCTGGAGACATAGATGTTCCAACCATTAGGCTCCAGATCCATAGTCAAAAACAGATGTTTGTCTTTACCTCGTTGGCCTTCAGTATAAGTTTTGAGAAAGGATTCAAACAAAGATCGCCCGTAACTATTGGCTCTAAGACCAAAATGATATGTTCCCCACTTCAGGATCTAGTTATTGGTCTAGTAATATTAGAATTCTAACTACAGATGACTGTTTTCTATATCTTCTTTGTTCTCTACTTTTAAGATAGTATAGGTTCAAGTTAGGGAGAGAACCTAATGATTTTTTGAGTGAAAATGTACTGAATACTTTCTCACTAAATTTCTACATATTCATTCCACAATCCGCAACATACTTATAGCAACAGTTTGGTACAGTATGAGTTTCGTTAAGACCAGACTGCCAATCCAACTGACTTACAATCCAAATGTTAACTGCCGACCACAAATGTTATTACATCTATCAGGATAAAGGATTACACATTAAAACAGCCTACAAATGGGAACAACATACTAGAATTAACAAATAAATGACATCAGTCATACAACAAATAACCTAAGAATAATTAATTCTTCTTCTTCCTTGGATATACTTAATCAAATGGCACATTGCCATAGCTGATAACACATAAGCATGATGGGTATATATAGTAGATAAAACAAATCGATTACTGTCTGATTCCAATTTACTGTAATGCAAAGACTTAAGGAATCCAAATCCAAATAAATCCTTGAGAAATACCCTGTCCAATCAAAATGGGGAAATTTTGGAGTTCGGGACTGTCCTTTCCTCAAGCAATATAGCCACCCTTCAGTAACTGAGTCTGAATTCTGTTCAGCCAGAGGACCTGTCCCAAGTGCAAACTGCTTTGCCTTCAAATGAACTGATTTGTGGCTACTCCAAGAAGCCTTGAAACAATCCTGAGTGCTGCCAAAAAGATCAATGACAAGAATATAGAGAAAGTAAGTTTGATAACACAAGTATTCTTCACTTTGGGAGGTTCCACATTATATCTCACAACAGAAAGAAAATCAAATCTCATATTTCCTGCATAAGATTCATTGTCAACAAATTCAGTTCTTTCCCTTTCATCCATATCATGGTCATTCTTGGGAACATAATAGTAGCACAATGATGGGCCAAAGAGTCAGACTACTTAAACATGATTATCTAGATAATCAAACGAAACTTGGGATACAAAGCATATCAACTAACAGAGACATTGTTACATTGATGCAGAGTTGTGACCAATCTAGAAGCAAAGCAAAAGGTTTCCAGCAAGTAAACCAAATATGGACTGACAGGACAACGGAATTAGTTAGCTTTCGCATTTTGTAAAGAATCAAAATATTTATACTGCAGTCAAGCTACTTAACTCTAAGACATCATTCTCTTGATACGGGGAATTATTGCTGATTTCTTTCCCAAAGTTTAGTTTCCATCTTCCAGTACCAAGTGTGGAAAATAATAAATCACTTTACAGATATTAATTTATGTAATCATTACAAACCTAAATCAGATATTTTTATAAATTGACTACCAGAAAAGAAACATAGACTCCTTGAACCATTTTTTCTAAAATTCTCTCAGTAAAGGTGCCTTTGTCCCAACTAATTGGTTTCCTTTTTCTTTTTCTTTCTTTTTCTTTTCTTGTTTTCTTTTTCTTTTGAGAGCAAAGTTGCATTTCATATTAATGGTAACGATAATTGGCCTTGCACTAAAAATGATGAATAGACAAAAACAAACGGTGGTTGGCGATGGTAGGATGTTGTTACAAACCAGAAAGAAGCAACTTCACGGGGAAGCTTTAATTCAAGGCATTTGGGGCACCTGCAAACATAAGTAGTAACTGCAGAATGATTTATTTGTTCTATGAAGTATAAGAATCAAACAAATGATAGGATTCTTCATATCCAATTTCATTCTTAAATTCATACGATAATTATCAAATTCAGATTACTATCTCATTCTATTACACACATATATATATATATGTGAACGATAACCTAGTAGAAATTAGTGACTACATACTGAAGAAGGGCAGGTTTGCCGCATTGAGCGCATGAAACCCCAACATCGGATCCACGGTCCATCGAAAGCTTAATTCTCGCCTCTCAGTTTCAAATTACACTGCGATTTACAATCAAGAACCACATATTGATCTCGGTAAATGAAGAAACAGAAGAGAAATAGAGAAATAACAGAATCGAGGGAAGAAAACACAAAGAAATAGGATTCTTGGACTGCAATTCATCGATCGGAATCCAGATATTTAAGCTGTTTGATTCACAACTGTGTTTAACTACTTCAGCTATTAAAATTGATTCCAGTTATGGTTTAGTACCCATTTCTTTAGAATCAGTTTAAAAGTCGCTCTTTTGACCACATAAAATATATAAATGAAGATTTCGATTATATCAGAGGAGAGAAAATTCTCCAACCTGTGATTGCTGGTTCTTCCCACGATGACCAAAATGGAAGGACTCCTTCCGGTTTTTGGCTCTCGGTGGAAAGAGACGGAGCAGGAGTGAGGAGACAGGGAGGCTAGGGTTTTTCACCAGTGAAATTTAAAAAGAAATGTTCCAACTTTCTATTTCCGACTATCATTAGACAGAGCAGCATTAACAAAGGGATCTAAAATGTATTGAAGGGAAGTATTTTTATCTGGAAAAGTCGAAAAGAATAGTTGACACTTCAACACGCTGCAAACATATTATCCTAAAAATGAAATATCCAGGACAGGCGGCTTATCTTAAGAAAGTAGCCTTTTTTATTTAGAATTATGTGATTATTGACTTGATTTGTTGAAGTCATTTTATGGACACTTTTAAAACGTTGATAAAGATATTTTGATTTAAAAAACATTGATTTATTTTATATATAAGAAAAATATATATTTAATCACACCTAACATTAAAGTATTTTCTTTGTATATTTTGAGAAATATTCTAATAAATCACCATTTATGATACGTCAGTTATTTAAAACGATATTTATATATTCAAAAAGTAATTCTTAAAATTACATTTGTTAATACTTAAATAAATTTATTTTCTTTAAAATTTCTTTCACATATAAATTTTCTTTTAAAATTTCAATTATTTTTAACAAATTATAACTTTAAAAGATAATCAAAAATTATTTTTAAGAATGATGCATTTTCTAAAGAGAATTTTACAAAAAAAAAAATTGGGCCTTCAACTATAATTAACATAATTTTCATATTAAATAAGTAAGTATAGAAAAATATACTTGATCTTTAAATTGTCTCTTTTCTTGTCGATATCCTCGTAGTCACTTGTAGTTTGTGCTATTTTCTTGAATTATGATGTTCTTTCTAATTCAAAAATTCAATTGACATCATTAGTAAAAAATAGGTTTATGTCATTTATTAAAATTTATTAATCTTATTTAGTATAAAGATATGAAAAAATTCTAAAAGTCGATTTGGAGAATTTGAGATATCATTAATTAAAAAGATAAACAGTTCAATAATTAAAGTTTATTACAAAACTAGAAACTCACTAAGGATAGACCTGATTTTTCTTATTCTGAAGTCTAGAAACTAACTATAATTAGAGAAAGTAGTGAGCATCTCAAATTACCATACCAAAAAGTGAAGCCTCCTATTTTGACATTTTTATTTTTTTTATGTATACATATGTATTCTAAGGTCTAAGTATATTGAGTTCTTACTATATAATCTTTGATGATTATTTAACAATCATTAAATTAACTAAAGAGTGTGCAAAAGTTAAGTTCATAAAATTAAAGAAAGCATAATTTAAAGTGCAGGAAAAAACTACATAAGATAAAATGTACACATTATAATGCATAAGAGTAAAGTTTAAACAAGTGAAATAGAGATACATCCGACTTGTAATCATACTTTTCTAAATGTGCGATTAAATAAAATGTGATAAAGTTAGGTTCATAACTAATAAAGTGCAACAAATTCAAGAGCAAATAAAAGGGAAGTAGAGGAATATCATGATTGCAATAGTCATCTTTAAATACTTTATCCGATAAGTTACTAATCTTAGATATTATATCATAAAAAAAGAAGTAATAGAACAAAATAAAAGAATAATAGAGTAAACCATAATAATAATGTCAAATATGCATAAAAAAAAGTAAGAACATAATGTGGGAAAAAGGCTTTGTCATGACATTATTTAAATATCCTAGGTGCTAGACAATCAAGTATAACTCGCACTTTTCATAAACTTAAAAAAATATAGATGGAGATTAAAATAAACAATAATTTAAAATATGTAAATGATAAAATGAAATAAAGTGATTTCAAAAGGCCAAAGTTTGAGGATTGAATAGAGAGCCACCCTCAAGCATGGAGAATTTCTTAGTACATACATATTTAGTCATATCGAATTCCAATTCCTTGACTAATAGCCCCTTCCAAATCATAAAAGGGAAAAAAAAGATGGATTTGGGCAAATGAAAGAGATTAAAAAAAGGAAAACCAATATAAATAAAATTAAACAAGTATACGGGACTAGGATTAACTTATAGAATGAGTGTGTGTAAGCTCAACATAATTCGTATCAAAGAGGGAAGGAAACTTAAAATTCATACTTAATTAAATTGATTATTATGTAGTGATATTTGATTTTATTTAAGAAAAATATATTGACTTATAGGATAAATTTTGTGTGAGTTTAACAGTTTTCATATGATAGATATAATGAAATTTAAAATTTTTATTTAATTAAGACTTATTTAGCTTATTTTCAAAAATCATCCTCATTTTAATTCAATTGAGTTTAGATTGATTATGTTTTGTTAAAACCTAAACATGTCAAACAAATATAGTCATACTTTTTCTAATCATTCATTAAACATAAATTCAAAATTAACTTCAGATCTAGGATATAAACATTATGTCTAGCCGAACCTTGCTTGGGGAAAACCCTAGGTAAAAGCATTTTTTTCTTAGTTTGTGTCCCTCAAAACTTGCGATTTTAAGGTAATTTTTTTGAGCAAAAACTTATTTCTCTCCTTTGCAAGTTCTTCACTCACATAAAATGTCAGTTTCATTTTCTCTTGAAATGATGAATTAAAGTAAAATATCTATAATATGGCACACACAATTATAAAACTCTAATAAGAGTTTCAAGAACATTTTTCTCAAGCTTTTGAGTCAATAAACTATGCTACCAAGAATAGAAAATTAAAGTTTAATAGATTAATATTTTAATTATCTAACACCTTAAGTCCAAGGATTATTGGCCTAATAACTTTTAGACTCAAACAATTGACTCTTAATGTAACTACCCGAATTTTTATAGATAAATATGATTGTGACCTTTCATTTATATACATCGAAGTAAGTATTTACATTCATACATTTTTATAAGGATTATCATTCTCACAGTTAATTTTAACATGCTTTAACTATAACATACTACAAAATATTTAAAACTTTTCCTAAAATACTTTAAATCTAAATAGTTAGATAACACTTAAAGTTTAAAAGATCAAATTCGTACAAACAAGTGTCTCTCTATCCTTTATACCTTTTAAACAATATCTTCCTATCTTGACGGTTTTTCGACTTAGTTCTGATCTTTCTATTATGGAATTAATAAAAAGGAATGAACCACTACTTGGTCAATAAGAATAATTTTAGATTCCAATCCAAATATTGGAGATAATATACAAATTCAAACCATTACTTTTACCTGAACTTACCACGCCCTTCACAACCATCTGACTTCTACACTCTACTACAATTACATCTATCTTACTAACCACATGTTTTCATTTCTTATATACCTCATTTCATTCAAATAATAATCATTATTTCTCAATCTCAATACCATAACGTCATAACCACATTGATTGCACATATCTATATATAAAATATATTTTCTTCTCAAGACCTTTAGTCCATCATAAGTGTTTTTTTTTTCATCCAGCTTATTACTATTCATCACCTAGTATGTAAAATAAGCTATTAGTTGACCTTTGAACGAGTGTCCCATATACAATATTCTTTTATCCTGATAAATTCTGACCCAAACAAATTTATTAACCCATCTGGACAATTTTTCAATTTCTCTAATATGCCTTTATTGTTTATTAGTTTTCTTTTTTCTTTCAAATTTAGTCTATTCCACTACTGCATCTGATTTAAGCTTACGTGCTCAAACCATCCTACCTGAACCTTCCTTTTCCTCTTTATTATTTTATTTTATTTTAGCCCAATTCACTTCTGCATCCCCTTTAAGCTACGAACTTAACCCATTATACCTGAATCTTCCTTCTAACTTAACCCATTATACCTGAATCTTCCTTCTCCTCTTTATTATTTTACTTGATTTTTTATTCATTAGACCTAATCTACTAAAATTTTGAACCCCTCAATAAGCCCATTTCATTTATGGGTTTATTCTACCCAACCTCTTTTCTAGATTTTGTACTTATTATTATTTTTTTGTTTACAATTTTGTTTCATTTCCCTCCCTTAATTAATTAACTAAGCCCAACCTAGAAATCCTCATGGCTCTGGTTGAGGGAAACTAAAGCCTGGGCCTCATGGGTACAACAACCCAACCCACATCAAAACTTCTTTCCATTTTCTCCAACCTCTGAAAACCCTATTTGCATCTCAAATTAATGTCAGTCGACACCTTCATCACAAACCATCAACCATTTCATCTGTCGCCCATTCATCACATAATCCATCAATAATATTCCTAAAAATCAATAAATATTACAATCATATAACAAACAATGCATCTAAATCAACTATATTAGCTTAAATATAGAAATTTAGAGTATAAACTACTATTACTTTTACCTGAACTTATGACGGACGATGGTCATGGTGCGGTGAATATTTCTTTTATCGGCTATCGTGCAACATGAGCCAACAAACTTTTTGTTACTCCGAAATTCAGCATAGATATCGAAGTACCTTCGGATTTAATATTAAAATAGA